TATATATATATATATATATATATATATATATATATATATATATATATATATATATATATATATGTGTGTGTGTGTGTGTGTGTGTGTGTGTGTGTGTGTGTGTGTGTTGTGTGTGTGTGTGTGTGTGTGTGTGTGTGTGTGTGTGTGTGTATACATTATCTAATCTATCTATCTATATGTATGTATCATATGTATAATATATATTATATATATATATATATATATTATACATATATAATATATAATATATATATATATATATATATTTTATATATATATATACATATACATATGCATATATGCATATGTGTCTGTATAAATAACATGCATATATATATATATATATAATATATATATATATATTATATAAATATATATATATATATATAGTATAACTCATGCACTCCATATTCAGTTTGCAAATAATTGCCTTGTTACACTGTTAAAGAAAACCGCATCGTGATTTCTTGAGGAAAATCTGTGTCGGAATCCGGCCGAGCCAAACGCCTTTCCCGGCCTGGCGAAACCGGCCCAGTTCTTCGGTAATTCGGGGTCAAGTGAGGTGAGAGGATGTCATGGTTCATATATTTATTTCATTGGAAGTGTAATATAAATTTTTCGTCCTTATATACGGCCAGTGCACTAGCGGGGGGCTTTTAGCTGTGGGGGCGCCGTAAAGGGGTGCTGGCGTTTCGTAGGTGGGGGCTGGAGTGCCGTAGGTGGGGAGGGGGCCTCGTAAGCAGGGCGGGGGCGGAGTAAGCGGGGCAGGGGCGGCGTAGGCAGGGGCTGGCTGGTAAGGCTTGGTCTCGGGGTATGCGCCTCGCCCTCGTAGGAACTTCGGCCACGTAGCCGTGGCGTGATCGGCCGTGTACGAGACGATCTGCGTGCGGCCGTCGGGAAGAACGACGCGGTATTCGCCCTTAACAATGTTGCCGTCGGAGTTGGAGTTGTGGGAGTAGTCGTTGCCGGTGTAAGCGTCTACGACACCGTAGGCGAAGTCGAAAGGCATTCCCTTCTGCGGGTAGAGTCGCGAATTACATATGTTACTCAGGTGTTCATGAGATAAAAATGTGAACACTCGTTGCTATTCAGGCCCACTGCTCAATGCAGGTGGGCCTGAATAGCCGGTTATACCAATATTGGATTTGTGATTTTTTATGAGTGGCGCTTGCAATGACCTATGACGGAGAAGATTAACCAAACTCACCTCGTAAGATGGGGCCTTGTAAGCAGGAGAAGGAGCGGAGTATGACGGCTCGGGAGCTTTGTAGGCCGGGGCAGGAGCTTCGTAGGTTGGTTCAGGATATTTGTAGGCTGGCTCAGGAGCCTCGTAAGCAGGCTCGGGAGCCTTATAGGCAGGGGCAGGAGTCTCGTAAGTGGGTTCAGGTGCCTTAAAGCAGGGCAGGAGCCCTTGTAAGCAGGGCAGGTGCCTTGTAAGCAGGGGCAGGAGCCTTGTAAGCAGGGGCAGGAGCCTTGTAAGCAGGGGCAGGAGCCTTGTAAGCAGGGGCAGGAGCCTTGTAAGCAGGGGCAGGAGCCTTGGTACAGGTTCTGGAGCGCTTGTAAGCAGGTCTGGAGGCCTTGTAGGCAGGAGCAGGAGCCTCGTATGTGGGCTCTGGGGCTTTGTAGGCTGGGGCGGGAGCCTCGTATGTGGGCTCTGGGGCTTTGTAGGCTGGGGCGGGAGCCTCGTATGTAGGCTCTGGGGCTTTGTAGGCAGGGGCGGGAGCCTCGTATGTAGGCTCTGGGGCTTTGTAGGCAGGGGCGGGAGCTGAATACACTGGTTCTGGAGCTTTATAGGCAGGGGCAGGGGCAGAATACACTGGCTCTGGAGCCTGATAAGCAGGAGCGGGGGCAGAGTACGTAGGCTGAGGAGGCCCGTAAGTTAATGGGTTGGCGGGGGCGGGGTAGCCGTACCCTGCAGGGGCAGGCTTGTCAGGCCGAGCCAAGGCGACTGCGACGAGGCAGGAAAGAATGATCTGACGAATAAAACAGATGTATCAGTCTCATCAACAGTTTTCCTAATATGAACACTACTAATACTTCATTATAGACACTGGCGGGCAAAATGCCTATCACATTTCTGTAGCATCATATGCCTTTGGGCTTTCGAGTTTTTACTCACCTTCATCATGGCTGCTGTGGATGTGTTGCTGATAAGGAAGTGAGTGAGTGCACTGAAGGCGTGACTGCGGCGGTGCCTTATATATGTGAGGGCGTGGACTCGTGAAGGTGAGCGCGGAGGGCGGTGTGGGTGCCGCCAGCGAGGTTTTCCGTGACGTAATGACACGTTGCTACTCCTGACCTTGCCTGTGAAATTCACCTGCTTGGCGGCTACCTTCCGAACGCAGAAATATCAGATAAACAGATATGCTCTAGTAATTTTTCTATGGTTCTCTACAGTGCCACGCTTGTATTTATTCCCATAAAAGCATTGCTGCAGCCTGGACCCGTAAGAGGGCGATATCCATTCTACAAATTCTTTGGTGACGCAACAACAATCGACCAAAATAAGAAATTGCCGGCGGTGGCATAGCTGGGAGCCTCGACCGCTTCCTTTCCCTGCGGGCAGTCACTCGGCGGTCAGTCAGGCGGTCACTCAAGCAGTCACAGGCTCCGGAACTAGGAAATTTCAGACAAGAACAAAACGCTTTTGAGAACAAAGCAGTCCAAGTACATCTTGGTTGTGCGATGCTTCTTGTGCGCGAGCAAGGATTGTGTACTTGTGTGTGTTTGTTTGTGTGCGTGTGTGTGTGTGTGTGTATGTATATATATGTATGTGTGTGTGTGTGTGTGTGTGTGTATATGTATGTTGTGTGTATGTATATATAGGATGTGTGTGTGTGTGTGAACGAGAGAGAGAAAGAGAGAGAGAGAGAGCAACTTGGATTCAACTAGTCTTAGTCAGTTTTAGCGTTACACTAAAAAAAAAAAAAAATCCTTAAACGCCCAAAATGAAATTACATATCATGTGTGCAAATGGACAGGACCGCCCTGGCCATCATCCAGCGGCGGGGCGGGTGAAAGCCATCGAAATAATTTCTCACGAAGCGAGTAATCATGGGATAACGAAAGAAATGACATTATCCAAACATAATATTTAGATACTCAGGTGTGCGTGTTTGTATATATGTGTGTATGTATATTAATATATGTAAATGTATGTATGAATGTGTATATCTATATACATATCATTTATGAAATTCATCGTAAGCATCGCGTGTCTGCCATACACCTGAAGATTTTCTCGTCAATTTGGCTTTGAAACAAGTTTTATACTCGTCACGTCTTTACGCATGCATGTTTCTCGCCTCTACGGAATCCCCCTTGTGGCTATTACTTTCTCAGGCATTACGTCTCAAATCAACACCTTCCCGACGTATCTCTCAGCAATCACAGCTCCAGCCACAACCCCCTCGGAGTCCAGTCCGTCTCTTCCCACTTTTCCCACGCCTTTTGGCCGGCGCCTCCATCTGCCGCCACTGGGTCCTCCTCCCAAGCAGCTTTCTTTAGATCAGCCGCTCGCTTTACTTTTGCTGGACGATCCCCAGGTCAGTTGTTCTTAAGCACTTTAGAGTCACGGATCCCTTTAAGTTCTGATAAAAGCTATGGACCCTCCTCCCCAGAAATATTCACATAAACACAACTTTGCGTGCAATGTGTATCATGCACTTTATTTATATAATTGACTGTCTCATACATATATGGGATACAAAAAGTATTATAAAACATTCAAAGAAACGATCTAAAAAAACACTCCTTCTAAGTAAAAAGTAATGGTTGTATAGCGAATATAAATATTTTTTTATCTATTCTTCACGGGGAAAACTGTTCCGTGGTTCGTGGACCCCCTAGGAGTCCAGGGACCCCAGGTTAAGAAACCCTGTCCTAAGTGGTGGTCTGCTTGGGTAACCCTGGCAGTGATGTAGATTGTACTTTCTGTCTATTTCCGCCAAGTAGCCCCAAGTTCCGGTCCAAATTACTGGTTTGGTTCGACCGTACTCCATCAATAACGGTTTTCCAGTGAATTCTGATCTATATGTATTTGAATAACGATTCCTGGTGACAAGCAAGATGTCATATCTACTGTCTGTTCCTCTCTTCCTACTTTCTCTTTTCTTGAACCTGGTCTTCCGTCTCCCGCGAGGGAATTAAAGCGAGGGAGATGAACGGGTCGCCGGGCCACATGGCGCTGCATGGAGAACAGCGAGGGCTCCCAAATCAATGATTGTTGTACCATTGTCTTTAGGTATTTTTGCGGTGAATTAGCCTTCGGTCGCGCCAGCTGCCCCCTTCCCCGTATTCGAGCAGCGCCCCCAGCCCATCCTGAAGCTCTAGATTTGTTCATGGTCCAGGATAAGATCTGTGTGAAATGTTAAAATAGCTCTTCACTTGGAAACTTTAAACAAAACGGACTGACAATCATAAAAGTGTTGCTTGTGGCGGTTTTGTTTTAACTATAGGATCGGAACGAGAGGTATCTTTTTATAGAAAAGTGCAGGGCAGCTTAGCCCTGGGACATCACGACACCTGTCCTAAAAAGGGAATAGTTGAAATCAGTAGCTCAGAAGAAATCAAAATCAAAAGGAGCAGAGATTTACAAGAAATCACACATGAAAAAACAGTGGAAAGGCAGATGGGATAATAAAATTTGGAAAATCCTTATGGAGATATTTCTATCGAAATAAGAACAGTGAACCTCTTATGAGATTATCAAACGGTCCTTAAGTTTATCGTTTTACTGTTTCCTTAAAAAAAAAGAAAAAAGAAAAAAAGAAAAAAAAGAAAAAAAAAAAAAAAAAAAAAAAAAAAAAAAAAAAAAAATAATATATATAATATATATAATATTATATATATATATATATAATATATATATATAATATATATATATNTGTGTGTGTGTGTGTGTGTGTGTGTGTGTGTGTACGCATGTATATATCCATACGTTTCCAAACCTCTGATTTCCTCCTCAGGCAGTCTTAGGGAGGCTGGAAGCCCGGGGTCGCGTCACGTGGTTTTGCGACGGCGTCCTCGTCTCGCGCTCCTTCGTCCTCTCCGCCGCCCACTGCGCCGCCAACAGGTAGGAGCAGGCTGTGTTTTGTTTGTTTGTTTGTTTTAAACTATTTTTAAGTATTTTTGTGTTTTTTTAAAGTGTTATCTTATAGGATTTTTTTATTTGTTTGTTTATTTGTTTTTAAGTATTTTAGAGTATTTTAAGTGTTTTATTTTGAGTATCATTTTATAAATATTTATTTTTTTGTTTGTTTTTTTCGGGGTGTGGGACAGTCGGTTTGTGGCGGTAGATGTGGTTATCAACAATTTCTGATGAATATTGGCGCCTAGATGTACTCTCTCTCGCGTATGTGTTTAGGTTGGCTTATTGTTGCGCATTAAAGTGAGTCTAACGTCGATAATGTATTCTAACTAGATGTTTACGTACGTGTCGTAACGGAAATTTTAATTATCGTATATCCCTTCTCTACCTCGCACCCTCTTCCCTATCCTCCCACCCTCCAACGCATCCTTCCATCCTCCTACCCATCCTTCTACCCTCTTACCCATCCTTCCACCCAGAGATAGACGAAAAACTACTTTATTAGCCTTTTTTTAATATAAAGATGTGATTATTCTCACTTGGCCCTTTCACCCCCCCTCCTACTCATCCGCCCATCCATCCCAGCCCCGTAGACGTGGTTCGAGTCGGCGCCCATGATCTCAGGCAGCGCGGGGCAGCCCAAGATGACCTGCCTGTCGAAAAGGTGATCCTCCACCCAGGATACGCCTTCCCAAGCTCTTCCCACGACCTGGTTCTGCTGAGACTATATAGGCCTGTTCGCCTCGGTCCCCACGTGCGTTTTTCCTCCGTTTTCTGTTGCGCTTCGTTTTCTGTGTTTCATTGCTTGAATCTTAGGCCTTTGTTGTTGGTATTATTGCTGTTATTAAGGTCATTATTGGTAGGTAAGAATGAGAGTCCTTAATTCTATTAACAACATATGTAATTACTTTTTCAGTAGTATATCATTACTGTGCGGACTTTTAATAAAACTGTAATGCAAATATATCTAGCATCGTAGAAATACCAATGCTCATTCATACCTAATTCATCCTGTCACACTGAGCTCTCTCAGTTATTACCATCGCTGAATTATTATCTTTTGTTCCCCATTTCAAATCAAACTAAGATGTTTGTCTGACTTTTATCTCATGTCTGATTTAGTTGCTCAATTGACTTTTTTATTTCGTATTTTTTTCTCTCGATTGACTTCTATTTCGCATCTAATTAAGTTGTTTTATTGTCCGTTATTTTGTATCTAATTTAGTTGGTTAATTGACATATTTCGTATATAATTTAGTTGCTTTATTGACTTTCATTTCATTTTTTTAGTTTTGCATCTAATTTAGTTGCTTTATTGGCTTTCATTTCATTTTTTCAGTTTTGCATCTAATTAGTTGCCTGATTGACTTATATTTCGTATCTAATGTAGTTGCTTGATTGCTTATCTGACTTCTATCTTGTATCTAATTTAGTTGCTTGATTGACTCTTATTCAGTATCAAATTTAGTTGCTTGTTGGACTTTTATTTAGTAGTCGCTTGATTGACTTCTATTTCGTATCTAATTCAGCTACGTGTCCGACTTGGCAGGTTACCCCCGCGTGTCTTCCCTGGACTGCCCACGACGCGCCAAACCTCAACGGGAGGAGGCTTATTTTGGCCGGGTGGGGAGCCATGGAGTACGGTGGGTGTCTTGGCGCGCGTGTGTTTGTGTGCGTTTTTTTTTTTTTNTTTTTTTTGGCTTTTGGGTTTTCCTGTTGTCCTTTTCGTCTGTTTGTTGTTTTTTGTCTGTTTTTTCTGTTTGTTTCCCTTTATGTGGGTTTACATTTGTTACTTATCGTTTTTTTTTTTTATGTTAGATACAATTTTATCGTACCGGATTATTTTTCCGTAAATAACAATTCTGAACAATATCCTTAACATGAATTATTCCCATACTAATACAACAAGCAAATACAACCCTAAAAAACAGTTAATAACCCACCTCTCACGCATCCAAGCAGACGGAGAGACGAGTAACGTGCTGAGAGAAGTGACCGTCGAAGTCTTCCCGCCGAGCAAGTGTGCTTCCGCCTATGCGTCCGTCGCCCACTACGACAGGCGGTGAGGGGCGCTGTCTCCAGTTTTTTTTATTGTTTTTTTTTTATCATCACTTTATTATTGTTACTATTATTATTATTATTATTGTTATCAATGTTATTATTATTATTATTACTATCATTATAATTATCATTATCATCGTCATCATCCCCATCATTATCATTATTATCATTTTATTGTTGTTGTGACCATCATCATCATCGTCATCATCCCCATCATCATCATCATCATCATCATTATTACTACTATCATCATTTTTATTATCACCATTATTATTATCGTCATCATCCCCATCACCATTATCATTATTATCATCGTTTTTTATAGCGTTGTTGTTGTGATCATCATTATCATTATAATTATCACCAGTGCCATTTGTGTTATACGATTATTTCTCCGTAGATTTCCTGAGGGCATTAATGAAGATTTTCTGTGCGCGGGGGACGTCCGCGGCGGCAAAGATGCGTGTCATGTGCGTTGATTCCTGCTTTGTTACACAACCACAAGCATACGTACATTTACATGAACATGCATATGTAAATGTGTGTGTGTGTGTGTGTGTGTGCGCGCGCACATACACACACACACACATTCATATATATATATATAATTGCAGATATCCCTACAAATATTACAATAAAATGGCATTACATGATACCATAAAATAAAACATAAACATCTTAAAAGAATGAATGTAATAATCCAGGCTATTACACTTTTCAATATAAAAACACTTTTCTCTCTACCTTACCTCCACCTCCCTTGCCGTACAGGGAGACTCCGGCGCCCCCGTCGTGTACAACCACTACGGGGTCTACATGGCGGCCGGGGTGGTGAGCGCGGGCTACGGCTGCGGTCTGGCGGACTTCCCCGGCCTCTACACCGCCATTCGTCCGCGCTTGAAGTGGATCCGGGAAACGGCCTTCTCGGATTATCCGTGATTCTCTTTTCTTTCGCTTCTTCTTTTTCCTGAACTTTCTTTTTTTCTTTTTATCTGTTTAATTGTTATTTTATGTATTGTGATAGCCGGAGGTGGTGTATTCGAGAAACGAACAATTCATGTGTTGTTATTTTGTAAAAGTTTTAATTTGTTTTGCCTTTTACGCATATTTGTGTTTTCCTTTTTATAGCTACCTTGTACAAATATACGTTTCGTATTTTATAAGACCTAAAACTTTGACTATATCATTGTTGATACTTTTTTTTTTATTGAATCAGGCCTTGGGGTGTAGAAATGAATCTACTAACCAAATATCTCCTGATGGCTGATTTAAACAGTGTTTTTTGTATGATGAATGAAGAGATTGAAAGCGATTCGAAAAAAAGTGAAAAGTGGAGAGGAAAATCAAATAAACTGTTTACATTTCAACTGTATAAATAATATCAGTTTAATGTACCTTCAGGTTAACATCGATATAGTTTATATCTTAATGTGTCTTTTAATTAATTCATTTTGGGAGTGATTTTGTCATTAATCTGCACTTGGAGTTACTATAAACAGTGAAAAATCTTACAATATACATATGTTATAGAAGAGAAACGAAAAGAACAAACAATGCAGTGTTATTTGTACTAATAAGTTTTTTTTTATAATTTAAGAATCACTCATTAAGAGTATCATCATTAATAAGATTATCATAATCATGTTCATTACCTATGCTATTGGACCTACTGTTCTTATTTCAATTTTTATTCATGGTTTTCATTACGACTTTCATCACTGCTCACTTTATCAAAACTCGACACTATTATTATTATCATCATCGTTCATTCCACCCATTTTAACTTCACATTTTTTCATCAGACAGGCAAGCATGGCAGCTACACTTTATTCTTTGTACGTTAAGACTTTTTTTTCCTATTTGCATCATCTCTATATAACGGAGTGTTAATGCTGTGAATAATGACTTTGAGACGTGCCTTACGCTTATAAGGTTAACATGATAAAATAACGGTGGTGTTTAGGCCACATCTAATACAGCCATTGTCAACTATTTCGGCCTTGACATAAAAGAAATTGATAAGTTTCTGTCCAAAGAATTGGAGTCATTTGCGGGAACTTATGCAACTGTCCCTTACCAACTACTGGGATACAAATACAGTCATTGGAAAGGTGAGAAAGCCAAGGAAAATAAATCTGTTCCTGCTATTTTGTATGTCAATACATCCACATTATGATACTAGGACTACTACGACTCGATGTTGATCTCCCTACCCTATGACGGACCCAACACAAGATGCATACACCTGTGTAAATCTAGGGTGCATTCCGCCATACTTGATTTACTTTCGTAGAACTGAAAACTGGGATGAGCGATAACTCTATCTAGGACCTCACCAATGTAGCTGCTTTCTTTAGTCTTATATCATCGGTAGCATGAACTGCTATTTTCTACCTGGCATCTTACTTTCATTGTATTTATTTATTTATTCATTTATTTTTGTTTGTGTCATTTCCCTTCCAAGCGCCAAATGGGTCATAAGTTAGTTTTGTTGTTTATTGAGCTGATTCTTCTGGAACCTTGTGTTACATATTTTATTCTTTAGGTAGTTTGGTATTCCTAAGGTGCAGGGAAAGTTTTATTGTTGCCATTGGTTTACATTTGTCCTATGCCACACAGGTTCAATTCTCTGATGGCGATTGCTTGGTACTGGTGCCCTGTCTAAGGTTTTCCTGAGTGGAGACCAAGTCTACGAAGAATTTCGCACTTACACATACGTCGTCCGGTTATTGGTGATATGGAGAGATGTTCAAGTGGACATTGTCCCAGTACAATGCTTAAGAGTAAAAGCAAATAAATGAATTATGTTCATTTCTTCACTATCACAGACGAATGTTTACTGCAGACACCTGTGTGTGGGATTTCTAAATTTATAAGTGGTGATCATGTCAATAGAACCACTTAGTCAATTCCATATTACTATTTCGATATCCATAGACGAGCTAATAATAATTAATGCTTTAGAGAAATAAATGAGCTAAACAGTTTTTGTTACATATTTCTAGTTGTGCAACAAAAAAGTTTCCTTCGTTTTCTAGCTGGTTAATGCTCAACTTCATAGTTTCTCATAGATTCTAGATTGCAGTAAAAGTATTTGTTTGTTTTAATGTTATGGTATTTCTACTGATATCTTTGAAACACAGCTTTCTCATATTATGAATAAAGGCTAATAGTTTTTGATTGCTTGATTAACTTTCAAGGAGAGAGGAGAGAGAGGAGAGAAGGGAGAGAAGGGAGAGAAGGGAGAGAGGGGAGAGAAGA